AGGACTACGAGCGTAGCTTAGTTTTTATATTTTATCTTACTATTTCATACATACTGCCTACTACCTCATTAGCAGTGGCCAATGTAGGTATACACCGTCTTAAGTATATCATGCATGAGAGCCACTGGGCTCTGCCTCCTTCCAAGCCTCTGCCATGCCAGTAGCGATTTCCTATGTCCAATAATGCACTAGTGCAAGATATCTAGGAAAAGTGTCTGCAAGCAAAGTCTTGAAAATAATTTAAAAATATATCAAGCATTTGGTGATGCGGGTAACTATTGTACATGTAAATGATACTGTTTTATGTTATATAAGACTGTATTTATGTAAACAAGTGATTAGACGACCAGTTGGTATTACGTACTGCCATTGGGGCCATTAGGAAGGCCAAGGTTCAAATGTAGTTACGACCAATATCTAAAAGTCATAGAAAATTAAATAAGAAAATAAGTTAAATTATCCAATTTAAGTCATGGAATGTCAACTCCTTCGAGTGTAATTCTAACATGAAATAAAAGTTCCTCATAAAAAACCATCAGCTGCTCAACTTGGTATAAATTCCAGATCTCTGATAATTTACTGAAATAGAGGCCAAGGCTTAAATCGCATTACAAAAATATTTTTTTACTACTTTGCCTTTCCTCCTATTTTTGCTATATAATCGTGTTTTTCTTGGATCAATTGCTTGCCTTTAAAATGTTGATGGTGTTGCCATTGATTGTTATATGCATTCGCTCGAATGATTTCCTTACAAGTGAACTCAACTCGGACGGTTGCTCGTTTCGCTAACCAATTGTCACATTCACCCACTGTCTGACAAACTACATACCAGACTAGCTCATGGAATGACTTACGAGCACTTACTCAACAACTGACTCACTGCTTTAATGTTCACCAGTCGGACTATTTGATGAATTGGTTATTTGGTTGATTGGTTGACTGGTTGGATGGTTCGCTGGTTGGCTGGTTGGCTGGTCGGTTGACTCAAAGTTACTATGCCACATTTGTTGTCGTTGATTGCGTTGCTGTAGACGCTTTAGTGAGGCAGTCAATCAGTATGCTAGCCATTGCTACATACATATATATTTCTTACTTAGTCACTGCTCTCTGACTTCCCTCTCAACTCTTTGCAATGGCATTTCAGTTTGTACTGTAACAATAATATTATTTTGTTAATGTTGGTGTGACCCATTGTTGATTGTGTGATTGTTTGATTGTGATTGCGTTGACTGCCATGGGGTATTTGTCGCTGAGTGAATTGCTTTCCAAGTTTCTCACATATCGCTGAAATTATTTGTGTGGTTGTGCAGTTGCAATTTGTTCTATTTAGTTTGTGTTATTCAACTTTCTCTTGCTGCTTTTTAACCCATACATAACTGCATATTGTTAGTCATAAATGTTTATATATGTATGTACGAGTGTGTGTTTATTTTGCTCACATTCACACGTTCACACGTTCACATCTACTCATTTCCTCCTTATCAATTTTAATGGAGTGCAATCAGTGCAAAGTCAATATTTCTACACAATCCATATTAAATAAATATGAACTCGTAAAAGTATATATGTAGATATGAATATATGTATGTATGCAGTATAATCGTAAAATAGGTTTGTGTTAAGATTATTTTTATTATACGAAATGTTCAATGAACTGTGTGAACATTGCATTGGAAATAATTTCGATTAACTTGACGAGAATTCGGCAGAAGATTTCGTGGCATGGAAGTTTTTAAATTTTTTGTATTTTAATATAACTGTGTATGAAATCTCTAAAATATATTCAAAATTAATTTTTTGTTAATTTTTTTATTCGTTGATAACAGACTTAATTAAAAACAAAGAAATTTAAAAAAATCTGCATAGAGAAAAGCTTAAAGAGTAGAAAGTAGAAAGACAAAATGAACTGACGTATAAAAAATAAAAAATGTACTGAGTTAGTAATTTTTTTAAAAGCTTAAGTCCAGGTTCCTCCAAAACATGTTTTTTTTCAACAAATTTTATTTATTTGAAAAAGAATATTATAAAACTTATACGAATAAAAATATTAATTGATAATTTTGCATTGCTTTTTTTTTTTGTTTTTTAATGGGGCTGTTAACACGGTAACAGTAAAACAAATTATTTCAAAGAAAAAATCAAAACTGTTTCTTATTTTGAATTACATTTGCTATGGCCTTAACTACAAGAAATTTAAAAAAAAGAAGAAGGGGCGGACTATATATTTTTTACCCTCATTTCAATTTTAATGGTTTCATATTTAGAATATTTTTGATTGGAGTACCGGCCATATACAGACATTTTATGAGTAAATGGCCGTTTAATTTATTTTGAAAAATTCAATAGGTTCTAAATTAGAGTGTAATCCAGTTGAAAAAACGTGATTTCGAGAAAAGGTGATTTTAGTGCTCAAGCGCTCTCCCCTTCTATACTTACTTCTTGGTCTTGAAGATCTTCGGTGCCGATTACATATTATTTTTAGACATATTTCCTAGCAATTTAGTGGAAAAATTTTAAATTTTTTGAAATTTTGTTTAGAGGATCCTGGCCTCTAGAAGCAAACCACTATATTCACTTTGTATTAGTGAATTAATTTTTCTTTAGAGTCGTAATGATAAAAGTATTATGATATCAAAACACTTTAAAACATTTGGAGTATTAGACAAAGGCAATGCCACAGTCAGTTCTGGATCTATGCTCTGTTGACATCTCCATTGACTACTCAAAGCTCGATGGCAGAGTGGACTTCATCAGGAACAACTTGCAATCGACACTGCAACGTTTTTAAGGCTGAAATAACTGCGATGATGGAAGCCGCGACACGGTTACTCATCTGTAAAACATTATCTTAGGCTATCACAATATATTACGATGGCCAAGCTACCATTGAATTTCTTAATAACAATGACACTACTTTGAGGACGACAATAAGACTTAAGAAAATCTTAAACATACACTCTGCTATTAGTAAAAGGACTGTGGCTAGGGTATTCGGACATAGTGGCATATCAGAAACTCGCAATCCTGACGAGCTAGCAAGAAAAGGTACAATCCTAACCAAAGTACACTCATAACACGATGACAGCATATGTATTTGCTCCATAAAATACCTGCTAAGGTCAGCCTAAACGTGAAAAGTCAAAAGCAAATGGCAGAGTAAAGCCACATGCAATGTGACCAGGGAGAACTGGCAATTGATAGATACAAAAGGAACTAAGTCTCTGCTCCTTTTTAGCGTAACCTCCACGAGCATAACAACTGGCATAACTAACAGAGACCTTTTGATGAGAACTTATGGAAGAAGGATGAGTTACATTTCTAATTACTTTTTTCTCGGCTGCTAAGGTATAGACGAGGAAAAGTCGGTGGAGCGCTTCCTCTGCCACTGCCCCAACTCAAGTGCAACCCGAAATCACTTCCTAGGTTACTCTTACACTGACCGTCTAGCAGATATAGAGGCAGCAGGTGTCTATAATCTCGTGTGTTTTAACAAGTGGTTTCAGCATAGAAAAAGGTGAGAGGGATAACTCTTACGCACCTCTCTCCCCCAGGGTATTGCAACGGGACAACAGGCATAACTGCGCTCAATCAAGGGACCCGTGTATAGGCGATGTAACTTTCAGTGACTCTAAAGCCTGTGTATAAAATTTTTAAAAACAGTTTCTCACTTTAATGACAGTCTAAAGAAGTAAATCCGAAAAAAGTTTAGACGAATTTTCAAACAAATATGCCCGATTTTCGATTCTGGTTTGTTTAAATTTGTAAAAAATTTGCTTAATTTTATTGAGTTTTTGCGAGGAAAATAGTGGGAGTATCTGTATATTGTAACATCGATTTTCTTTCAGGCTAATTTATTTTCTCTGCCAATTGATAATATTTAATTTCAATTGCTTAGCCAATTAATTAATCTATAAATTTTTGTGTTAAACACAAGCTTAAAATGTTTTATTTTTTAAAGCACATTCTTTGTTTTAATGCTTTTTTATTGGAATTACTGTCGAAAAATTTTATAACTTATCTTTATTGTTAACATACAAATAATAACAAATCACGAATTCTGTTTACACTCAAATTCAGAAAAAAAAACAGCTCGGTGGATCGTCTAAATAGTTAAGTCAAGGTGCAAGTACTGGCCAGTGCCGTTAACAAAATTAAACATCAAATTGTTTTGGTTTGAATTTTTATTGAATATCAAATCTGTATCAAAACTGGTGATCTACTTTGAAGATTATTTCATGGAAATGTTGATTGTAAGTGCGCCTTAAATGGTCCATTCTCTTTAGTTCAATTTTGACATACTTTTTCCAAAATTTCGGGCGGTATCTCACGAATATCAACGTTGTCATCCAATGCGTCAATAAAAGCGGGCTTATCTGTTGAGACATTAGACTTAACATGGCTCCACAAATAATAGTCTAAAGATGGTTAATCGCACGATCTAGTCAGCTAATTGGCCGGTCCCGAAAATGAAATAAAATGTTCACCGAACTCGCCTCTCAAAAAGTCCATTGTCACACGTGCTGTGTGTGGCATGTGACACCGTCTTGTTGAAACCACATGTCATGCGAGTCAAGCTATTGCATTTTGGGCAAAAGAAAGTTTGAAATCATATCACGGTAGCGCTCACTCTTCACAGTTACGTTACGGTTTGCATCATCTTTGAAGACGTACGGTCCAATGATGCCACCAGTCAACCAGTCAACGCACCAAACAGTGATTTTTTCTAGATGCATTGGTAGCTCTTGCAATGCTTCCCTACAAAATCGACAATTCTGCTTATTTACGTACTCATTAAATTAAAAATAATTTTATTGGTTGAAACTCATAATTTCTATTTGTAAGATTTTATTTTTTTTATAATATCAAAAACAGTTTCATTATATTCAATGTTAAATTCTCTTTAAGGAATTTTCCTATGCTGAATATTTTTTTTGTATTTATATTTATATATGTGAATATATGAATTTATATTAATTTAAATTTTTTGATTTTATTTTCAGTTACAGAAAAAGAAATCCGACAATGGTGAGTTTTTAGCCTTTAAAAATCGCTTTCACTAAACTAAATTTTTATCCTCCATAAAAAAATAGGCACAAAGGATTTCTGAAAGACTGTCCAAATGGTTTACTCACAGAGCAAGTAAGTGAATCGGAGATAATTACAATAATTTTGATTTAAACTCTGGTTTTATTAAGTGTTATTGTAAATGAACTGCATAAAATATTTATAATCATAATGCACAGGATTTTTAAAGTCCTTATAATGTTAAGGCAATAGTTATCAAATTTTTCAGATATATTTTTTTTAATGGAAATAAGAAAGTTTTGTGTGATAAATAATATATGAGTTGATATATAAAACTGACTACAGTCAGCCTGAAGTAGTTAATCTTTCATTATTAGTAACATTAAATTTGAGCAAAAGGAAAACGACATTCTCAAATATATTTTGCTTCACAATTTTCGGCATACGCTGTGTGAAATGAGTTATATACGTAGCGGTGCTGAGAGAAATACATTTTTTTACATATATATAAATTACATAAATATTTCTATTTGTACATATTTCTTCTGAAACAATTCTCTAATTTACTATTTCAAATTTTCTCTTCCCTTTTTACAAATTAAATATGAATCAATGGAAACAAAAACAACCCACAATCAATTTGTAATAAATAAATAACTTAATTGCGATTGTAAAATGTGCTAATTGCTTACACCCAACCACGACACACCCAATACTCCGATATACTCGCATCTTAAAAAACAAAAAACAAAAATCGAAAACATACAAACCGCTGAATGGAAATTTCGCGCCACTGAATAAATAAATGTATTAAACGAAAAATGAAAACGAAAATTAAACTGAATAATAATCTAATGCGGCTGATTGACAACTGCCTGTGCGCGCGTGTAAATACAATTCAAATGGAACTAACTTCAAATGTTTTTTGTTGTATATTCTGTGACGTTGAATGATGCGGGTTTTGTTGTTGGCACAACTACTTCGATTATACATATATACATTTAACACTGCACACATTTCGTATATGAATGAATGCGGTTGACTGACTGCGTGTTGCTGCTGGTGGTTTTGTGATTATCTCTAAATGTCGTTGTTGCTGTTGGTTTTGGTGTCATACTCATATAACTATTGCCATCATGGTTTTCGAACTGATACGACTTGCGGTTGTTACTACTTCGCCGTTTGATTGTAACAAATTATTGGCACGTACACATAAATAACCGTTTGCTTTTGTGCGCACCAACACGTGTTTGCATTCACATATACTCAAACGAATGCTTTTGCGATTACACGCATCTTTCCTTCCATTCAACGCGTTTCGATTTAACAATGGAATGCAACAAAAATAACAATTACTGCGTGATATGGTGACTTTGATGTAAACAACGAAAAAACATAAAATACAAAAATAAAACAATACTAAACGACACAAAAATTATAAAATATTTGCAAAACCAATAAAAAAAAATTATAACAAACAAAAAAAAAAAACAATAAATGAATTTTTATAAAAACTACACCACAAACAAAAAAAAAATTAAATTAATAAAAATCACAATAAAATAAATTAAAATAACAAATAAAATAAAACTATATATAAAAAAATAAAAATAAAATACAAAAAATATAAAACTAAATGAAAAAAAATTAAACACTAAAATATATAATAAATAAATTCAAATAAAATTATATACAATTATTATTTTGAAATATTTACAAAATTTTATAATATTTAATAAATGTAAAAAATATTTTTTTTATTGCCACTACAACAAATTTAAAAACAACAACAAAAAATTAACACAAAATAAACAACGCTGTTTGTTACCATTAAATTTATACGTTTGCCATTCGTCTTCAAATGGATTGTTGGCATTACTTCCACCATCACTCACTCGCCGCGGCGTCTTGGTATGCCATCACGCAATCACTGTTACTGTTATATGCGTCTGCTGTGCTTCGCTGTCACTCCACTCATGGTGTCATGTGTCATTGGTTTGCCGTGTGCTTTGCGTCGTGTACAATCCTTCATACAAAATATATTTATACACGTACACACACGCATACATATGAATGCATATGTGTGTGCTTTGATTGAGTGTCATATTTTGTTTCGCTGTGGTTGTTTCTTCTACACACGCAACATTATACACGTTCTGCTCCCTCTCCCTGCCTCTCTCGCTTTCGCAACACATCTCGGTTGTCCATGGCGTATACGCAACATTTAATATTTTGCGCTATGGCAAACCGGTTGACATAAACAAATGCGTATGTGGACAAATACTATAATGACTAAACCAAAAAAAAAAAAAAAAAAAAAAAAAAAAAAAAAAAAAAAAAAAAAAAAAAAAATAATAATAATAACGAAAAATCACTAACATTTGTAACTTTCACACACCATAAAATGCATAAACTTATACACATGCTTATGCATATGCTGTATGTAAATTGCATACCATAGGGTTTTATAAAAATCTACAAGCAGTTCTTCCCACAAGGCGATCCCAGTAAATTTGCTTCGCTGGTGTTTCGAGTATTCGACGAGAATAATGTGAGTATGAAAATAAATAAGTATTTGCATATGTTTTTGTATAAAATTTCAGAAAAGTAGTGTATATTTCTCAACAAATATGTATGTGGTAATGGTGGAATGTGCATTAGAGTGGCTGAAATAATTTTTGGCTAACTACAGAAATTTTGGAGAATAGTGGAGTTATTTAACATAGCTCGTGGCTCAGAACCGCAATTATAATATTTTTTCAATAATATTGTAGCACAATTTGTTGAAATTAAAAATTATTAAAAAAAATATTAAATGCCCTTAAAAGAACATTTCTTTAATATATCATCGTAAAATGGCACGAATTGAACTTTTCAACTATACATTTTTTAGCATTTTTAAATTTCTTCTTTCTGCATCAATTTAGAAAAAAAGATAGTTGAGCAACTTTTCTTCTTCATTTCAAAAATAATTTGGTAAAAAAAAAATAATAGTCGAATTTTTTTTTTAAATATCAGTTTTTTATAAATATTAATATAGAAATATGAAGTTTTTTTATTATATTTGAAATATTTTACTTAAAGTATTCTGAACAGTTTTACATCATTAAAATTACTTATTTTGTTCAACATTTATCATTTTAGACAGGTTATAACACTAAATATTATCTTAAAATATTTAAATATATTAATTGTTAAATTCAATTTACCAACAACCATCTTTAAGCAGTTTGTATGTTTACTAAAAATATAAATATGAAAAATTTACGCAAATTCTGATATTTCTTTAACTAATCGATTGTAAATAAAGTTTCACATAATTCACTAATCTTGTCTTAAGCTCCTCATTTCAAAAATATTAAAAAAAATTAATTTATTGTTTTAGTTTTGACCCTTTCTTTGTTTGAGCCACCCTAATGCACACAAGTATTTTTGTTAGTGAAAAGTGGTTGCACAAGAATGAAAGTAGTGAATGATGTTGATAAATGAAATAAGTTGATGCAATGAAATTTTTGCACTCCACGCTCAGAGCTACACTCCTGCATACACAAATATACATACACTTTTCGGAAAACTTGTCTTTGTGTGGAATGTAGTTGGAGGTACGGCGACAAGGAACAGGCAGAAATAAATGTTCTTATAACAAAATAAACGCCAAAAGTTTGACTTTGCGCGCCCGTAAATGATTTGAGTGGATTTGTAACACAAGCTGTTGCTGAATTTCAGCTTGCACATATACAGTTATACTGTGTGCATGAATGCTAAGCTCTCAGCTACTAGCTTCCTTTTTTTTTGCACTTCATAAGGGCGTATAAAAATGTGCAGTTCTTTGATTGTTCTTTCGGAAGAGTAGATGTGTTGCTGTTGTTGACTTAACGCTAATGCCATTTTGCTGTTTGGATGTAAGCAAAAGAAAAAAAAATGTTAAAAAAAAATATATATAATACTACGCAATGAATTTGTGAGCTCATGTAGATAATTCCTAGTTTTTAGTGCGTTGTCAACGAGAAACTAAAGAAAATCACAAATTTGTCATTAAGTAAAAATAAAATTTATAAAATTATTTTTACTTTTTTTGGTTCGAAAAAATTTGCAGCACAATATATTATGTTGATGTGAAAACATTTATGAAATAATTTCATGTAGTCAACAGTGGAAAATCCTCTACTTTAATAGCAAGTAGGAATCAATAATGATGTTTAAACTTGCCACTACTATTCAATACAAATATATTTATTTTAATACCGATCATATTATTATATTTCCACGTATATATTGGGTTGCCCAAAAAGTAATTGCGGATTTTTTTAAAAGAAAGTAAATGCATTTTTAATAAAACTTAGAATGAACTTTAATCAAATATATAATTGCCATTTTGTCCGATAAAATTTTGCCATCTTCCTGGCAAATTTAGTATTCCACGCTCATAGAACTTCTGGCCTTTATCTGCAAAAAACTGAACCAAGTGTGATTTTATAGCCTCATCATTGCCGAAAGTTTTACCATTTAAGGATTTCTGCAAAGATCGAAATAAATGATAGTCTGATGGTGCAAGGTCAGGGCTATATGGTGGATGCATCAAAAGTTCCCAGCTAAGCTCACTCAGTTTTTGGCGAGTGACCAAAGATGTGTGCGGTCAAGCGCTGCCCTGGTAGAATATGACACCTTTACGATTGACCAATTATGGTCGCTTCTCCTTGATGGCTGTATTCAATTTGTCCAATTGTTGACAGTAAACATCCGAATTAATCGTTTGGTTCCTTGGAAGCAGCTCAAAATATACGACACCCTTCCAATCCCACCAAACAGACAGCATAACCTTCTTTTGGTGGATATCAGCCTTTGAAGTGGTTTGAGCTGGTTCATCATGCTTGGACCATGATCGTTTTCGACTAACGTTGTTGTAAACAATCCATTTTTCATCTTCAGTTATGATTCGTTTTAAAAACGGATCGAATTCATTGCGTTTAAAATGCATATCACAAGCGTTGATTCGGCGTGTTAAATGAATTTCTTTCAATACATGTGGTACCCAATTATTAAGCTTTTCACCAGTCCAAGACTTTTTATATGATAATGAACGGTTGATTTTGGCATATTTAACTTCTTTCCTATCTCACGCTCAGTTACATGACGATCCAATTTGATTAATGCTTTGATTTGGTCATCATCACCTTCATTTGTCCGACCTTTCGCGCACTGTTTTGCTAAAGCAAGTTAAAAGTAACAGCTGATAACTGACAGAAGAAAGAATGTAATTACAGAGTCACGAGCCGTTGAAAAAATTTGTCAACGCCGACTATATGAAAAATCCGCAATTACTTTTTGGGCAACCCAATATTACCAAAAGTTCTCATACATACACACATATATTATTTTAATAAACACCAAGCTCTTCTAAGCTTTATGGGCTTGCTTTTTCATTTTCTTTTATACCACATCGCCATCATCATCTGTCTTCAAATCGATACTGTCATTAATTAATTTCCTCCTACACGGCATTGCATTCTTCCATTTCCTTTTGATTTTTACTTCAATTTCGAGATCTCCCCTTTGTATCGCATTCTATGCTTTGGTCTTCCACTGGCCTTTTCAATTATTTAATTAACTAATTTCATAGCAATTGAGGGATCAACGCCACAGACCACAAAAATATATATAAATATCAACCACCATGGCCAAATGCCAATGACTTATCGATAAAATAACCAAATGGCTGGGGATGAGAGCCAAATGTTGATAATTAAGTTGGGAATGATGGGTAGGGAAAATTATAAAATGTATGTATGTAGCACAAGGAGGGTGATTTAATTAAAGTATAAATAGTGGAAGGGAAGATGGCAAAAGGTGCATTACTCTAATAATGTAGAGGAAATGAGCTGTGATAAATATGTAAGTGCCGCTTCATAAAATTTTATTATTTGAAATAATTTTATTTAAGAGAAATTATATAATATTTTGCAAAAAAAAAAACAAAATAAAAAAAATTTGCTTAATTCGGTTTCAGAGTATTTAGTTATATTTACAATAATTCTTTATTTCTTTTTAATTAAATATATAAGCAGAAATATTCGAGTGATGAGTTTCATACTGCCATTCTGAAGGCCAGTGTTTGGAAAACAGCTAAAGTTATAGAAAAGTAAACTCCCTAATTGCGTTCACCCTCAGGAAGAAACGTCAAGCCCACCGGGTGTATTTAATGAAAGTTTCCCATAAAAATCCATCGGCCAATCGAATGAACTGTAGGTTCATCTATTCACCGAAAACATCAAAATGCATACCACAAAATCATCCAAAAATCGATTCAACGGCTGCAAAGTGCCAAGTATACATTTTAGTAGTTCACAAAACCACTTTAAAATCCTAAATGCTCATAACTCATTTATCTGCACAGACAGAAAAAGAGTTTATCTTAATCCCTTCCTCTTTGACTAATACTTTTATATAATATGCAACTCTCTTCAAACTCACATAAATACTTAAACTTATGGGTCACCTGAGTTAAGTGCTCTCAGTTAAGCTGCTGCTGACTCGACTCAATGCAACTTTATTTCTTTTGCTTTGCTACTGCTGTTGTTGGCCGCTGTTGCCACTGTGTCTGGGGAATATTTGTTGATTTATGAATTAATTTCAGTCAGCAGAGCTAATTATATAAATGTGTATGTGGGTGTGTGCGGCTTGGAGTGCCTTTTATGGTTGTATTGTATAAATGCGCGTTTATGATGTATGTATACAAGGTGATTAATGAATTTATACGAAAAGTGGAAAAAAATTTACTTTTAAACGGAGCTTAGCTTATCTTCTCATACTCTTAATTTTATTCTAAAATTTACTTGGTATCTGTCTCTTTATTTCATAGGATACATAAAACTGAATATTTCTTTTAATTTTCACTATCAAATCAAGTTTGCATTTATTAAAGCAAACATCACCACTTTGATCTCACCGGCTGACTCATTTGGGATTATCCACTGCTTACATGCCTGGTTGATACCTAAGTTAGACAATAGACCGACTGAAGGAAAGAGTAGTTTTGTTGAATTAACCCATGAAATGGCATGTGCGACTCCTCAACGGTACATTCTTAGTCCACTAAGATGGCCACACTGTCCAATCTAAATACTCAGCTGCCTTCAGTGGAAAATTTAACGATAGTATGCCTTGTGGATAAGTTTGTTATATTTTCTGCAGGCGAGTAGTGTAAAAGTCTAACAGCAGTAGTAGATCCTACACTTGAAATCTCAAGTAAGTGGACTGAGAGACAAGAAAGTTCGGGAAAATCAGAATAGTGTTTCTTTGTAAGCAAAAATTCATCCATTTATTTCAACATCCTTGAGAGGTAATATTCTCGTAACTTCCAATTCTGTCAAGTATCTCGGTGTTATTACTGAAGAAAGCTTAGCTAGAGGGAATAAATTAACAGTAGGACCACAAAGCGCTCCTAATTTGGAGCTCGTGCAGAAGCGCTATTGCGGTGAATGGCAGACCCACACCGAGATATGCGCTGGCTTTATATAAAAGTCGTAAAACCTTTACAAGAAACTTATTAAAAGATGCAGCACTTAACCTCTAGAACCGGACGATAAGAATTAATTCATTGATCGTACGTCAGAGTTAGTTCAACTATTTAAAGCGACTTTGCAAGCAGCATTTATGGGTTGAAAAAGTTAAGCATCAAAGAACCATTCGTCTTTGCAGACTGTCAAATACCAGCGCGACGCTCGATTTTTCCAAGGAAGATGATCAGGGTGTTAGCGGAAAAGCGAAAGTCTCCAAATCCATCAGCCAGCGAAGAGCGAAGAGACCTATGAGTTGATATCTTTCTTTTCCCCAATAGCCAGACATTTGAGGCATTACACTCCCATCCTCCACAAACCCCCTTAGTCCAGCAACACAACAGCATGGCTTCTGTAAAGTGCACAGTACCACAATTGTACTTAATGGTACAAACATCCAAACATAGTTAATGAGCTCAGCCAAAACCCATTGTGCGCGCACCTGAATGTTTTGCTGGTACTGGATCTGTCAAAAGCCTATGATAGCGTCGACCAAAAAGTGCTACGATCGAGTTATGGGTAGAGTTTCTAGTTCAAACTTTAAAACTCCTTGAAATTAAGAAAGGGACTCCGAAGAATATTTTATATTCACATTTTTAGATACCGTCAGGATCATCCCAACAGACAACGACCCCCTAGGCATAAGAGAAGCGAAGTACTTGACTTAAAAACTCCAGACGGCATTTTTGAGCTAAGTTGCTGGACTGGAGGTTATGCATACCGACATGCTTCAAACGCCATTCTAATAGAGTCAAAGTGAAAAGTTTTGTAAACTGTACTCATGTGTATGGCATTCTCGAAATCCAAGCAACGACCATTGGAGACCAGTGCAAGCACTCTTTGCACTTACTCTAAAAACAATTAATGTTTCGTCATCAAAAAACTCTCCTCGAAGATGGAATTAGTCTCGCCCACTTCTAACCAGGAATGCAGAAGGCTGTGACAAAGCAGACGAGCTGGCTCACGCTGAAGCCATTGGTGAAGCTATCACCATCGACCGCCACAAAGTGCTTTGGAATATTGTCTAAGCCATGGAGAGCACTTTCAACGAAGAAGGTACAAATAATATATTATATGGAAGCGTGGATTATAAACAGCTCGAACTGTTACTTGGACTAGGCAAAAAATAACTTTGTGTTGTATTGTTGTGAGTATATTGATGATGCATCCACTCCTTAGGCAAGCTAGATAAGGTGGAATCGGAAGAGGGTGTAGTACATAAGAGGTGCGACAATTAAGTAATGAGACTGCGTACATTTCCGATTATTCTACAACACTGCCATCGCCTTTAAAGTAGTCCTCTTGGGCAGCTTTACAATCACGGAGAGCAGAAGGGAAGGGATGCCGGGAGAAGGGAAAGGAAAATTCAAGGTCGCAGGGTTACCAAAACCGCGGCAATATAATCAGTCTCATTTCTTCATTGTCACACCTCGTGCAGAGGGGGTCAAATACTGCCGCATTCTCTTTCGCTTTCAGCCGATTGAGACTTCGATAATTTAGCCGATATTTTCTTATTATTTCCATTAGTTATTAACTCAGTAATAATTATGTTTTCGGCATCAACTTTTAATTTTTTATAGCGATTGCTTTTAGGTGAATTTTAAACGATTGTGATGGTCACTGCAATGTACTTTTTTGAAACTAGGTTAACACAAATGAGTCACATAAGAAAAATTTCGTGTAGCCCAATTTTAGGTTTTGCGTAACATTTATGGTCTGACTGTACCCGCAGGTAGCAGCATTAGAAAAAGAAGATCTCTGCTATGATGGAGAGATCAGGTAGAGAAGAAACTGGTTAACCTTGATATTCCCAATTGACGCCATATAGTGAAAAGAAGAAAGCATTGGAGCGCTGCTCTTAACTCGGCTGTAAAGAAGCAGATGTCGAAATATGTCGAGCAATATTATCATATTTTTACTTTTATTAAATCAATTGTTTAACGAATTAGACGATACTGAAAATTTTTAAAGAAGCATATTTTCTTAAATTAGTCTCATATAGAACCACCCCTTAAGTATCTATGTACATTTTTATACATGTATGTATGCCTGTACACATATGAATATACACGTATGTATGAGTTCTATAAATAAACACTATGTGGAAAGCTTTGCGGGTGCTACTGAGTGTGAGTGCATATGAATTATGATCGCTTTTTATCATGCCTCATTTGCTGCTATTGCAATGACCAGTATGCTGTGAGCGTGTATGTATGTGTTGCTAACCAGTTTCAGTTTCATTATGCCACGCATTGGCATATCATAAAATATTATGCAATATTTTTCATTAATACAAACATATATAAATACATTTTTCTTCGTTTTCCACACTCGCTCTTGTATCTTTTCTTTCTCTCTATACATTTGTTTATGTCCGGTCACCGTGGCTGCACACATTTGGACTGCCTGTATGGAAATCTGCGTAATTTGCTGCTGTACGAAAACACGCACAAATATGCACAAACGCAATACAAACGCACAGGATGGCTCAATAGAATTTGAGGAATTCATACGCGCCCTATCTGTGACATCGAAGGGGAACTTGGATGAAAAATTACAATGTAAGTCTATTGCTATTACACGATTATTGTTGTTTTATTTTGATTGTATTTTGGCGCATCTCTTATTACTTGCTATCGATTACACATAAATATTATTGAAAGTATTGGCAGTGAATAATTACTGTACAGACATATATAAGCAGTTGCCGGTGGAAATGGAGAATTTATGAATTCACTTGTTCATGCTTACACAATTTGTATGGAATATCTATATATATTTAGAAATGTACACACATAGATATTTATTTATATGTTGTATATTGCTTGGAGGTATAATAATGATGCCAATTGGCTTTTATGCTCACTTTTTATTTTGCGTTTTCTTTTTCTGCTAAATCACCTTTCTTTTATTTATTTATTATTTTGTGGCATATTCTCCTTCTACGTCATGTCCAATTGATAAATTATCGCTTTTTATTTGGTTTGAATTTTTTGAAATTTTAATGCCCATAATTTTGGCCTTATTTTTTATTTTCTTTCTAATTTTCGTTCTGTGATTTATTGCTCTCGAATTTTTGCATAATTCTTGACTACTTGGGTTTGTGAGCCAATGGATTTTTTATTGCCGCCTCATTATTGGATTCTTTGGAATATTTTATAGGAATTTCAAGGCGCAAATTTTTTGGTTAGGCAAAGAGCGACAGGCGGCTATTGCTTAGCAACAGAAACTTGTAAGTGTCGTGTTGGACTGTGATTTATAATGTCTTTACGACGTTTATTAACTAATAAAAGTGAAACATTGTTTTTGCTTCAAAATAATATTTTTAAACAATTTTTTTTTAAGTTATATATTATATATGTTATATATTATTGGCGCTCTGTAAAAGTTGAAGTGATTGGAGGAGAAGGAGCTCGGAAAAAAAAATCGGCACTGGTTAATTGGCTGCCTATATCGCGCTATTTAATATCTTTCGACTTTTTTTGTGAGGCTATGTTAAATCTTATGACCATACAGACAAGTCCGCTTCAATTGTTACAACTAAAGCCGGTAAACATTTTTCAAACAAAATATTTTCTTTAGCGACGGTGCACATTTCTTGGACTTGAACAATTTGTGGCTTCGTCTGGGCGATGCCAGTTGATCGCTGAGTTTGCGTGATTTCATTAATATAAACTTTTTGTTTAGCCGGAAACACGAAAAACCAAGTCAATGCGGCCAAACTCTTGAGAGCTGGAAAACCAACATTCTTTAAGTAATGGTTGAGATACCAAGCAATACGTGCCAAAAAGCGGTGGAAAGGGATTCCAGATTTTCACTATGGGAAGTTTCCTTTCGTATAGGATTCTTTAATGTTTTTCCTTAATTTTTAAAATATTTTACTGAATAAATTTTTATAAGTTGACTTAAAAGTAAATAAAATACCAATAATATTTTTTAGCCCATCTTTGAGGCTGAAAGAGACATCTTGAATGTTTATAAAAATTATCTCCATTACAGCTTTATTTGAAAACTTTTAGTGAGGTTTTCAAACCTTTTCCAGTGAAGCAGAAGCCATCAGTTAATGAAAGCACACTTACCGTCTATGAATATTTTGCGGTTCATGCTTTTCCTTCGGTTAGTATCATAGTAAAAGGAATTAAATCGTTAGTTCGAATTGTGCTTGGGTTAAGTTAGGTGGAAGAGGTTGTTGGACATCAGCCCACTTTGGCTAGCAAATTGGTCCATTGTGTCATCACTGAATATCAAAACAGTCTCTACTCGCACTTCAAACCATTGTGATTTTGCTAAAGCTCTAAGAGTACTAGCCCAAGGGTCATTAATATTTTCCTTTAAAGTGAGTAGCATTAGTGAATAAAGTTATATAAGCCTAAAAATTCTTTTTCCTAGTTACAATTAATGCGGAAGTCATTTGACGGTCTCAGGTTCTGCCCGCCAAATATAAATAATTGTACATCTTTCCTTTATTCTAATCGATGCAAGATCTCCGACATGGGAACATTTAATATTCTTTCATCTGTTTCACGTGGTGGGTTGAAATGTTGGGATACCCACGAATATCCAATTAACCGTTATGTTACTGTGTCCAAAACGCCATAATATATACAGAGCGCACTTTTTAGCTATGAGGTTAAGTATTGTAGTATGCAATATTATTATAATGATGTCAATTTTATTGCTATAAATCCTAAGGCTCTGACTGCGAGTAACTTCTAGCTTGTCAAGGGCCCAATACACAATGATCCGGTAGAGGAAAGGCTTTACCAGACCAAAAAAAAAACCATCTGCCGTTCGGAGGCGGCTTAGTATAAACTGTGGGGCTCTCCATTTGTTGACAAATATCAAAACCCATAATACAAATGGAAGGAGAAGCTCGACTGAAGGTCGATTCAGCGGTAGTAAAGTGCTAATTAAAGGGTGACCCTTTTCAAGGTTCTCGAATTAAAAAAAAAAAATAACATCACATAAAATTTTAATTTAATGAAAAATGTTTACTAACATTTTAAAGAACATTTTTGGCCATTTATTTATTTGTTTTTTGACTATTATCTCTTCCAAGTGTTGGCAACGTCTCAATTGGTCCAATCGCTGAGTCTATTTTTCGATGACGCGTTCGAGCATTTCGACTGGTAACTGGCGTAGGATACCCCGATGTTTTGCTTCAAGGCCTGACATCAGGTGGGATTGTCCGCATAGACTTTCAGACTTTACATATTTTCACGGAAAAAAGTCGAATGGTGCGATATCACATCGGCTTTCTCAATAAATCCATTGATTGATGCGATCTAAGGAAACATGACGCAATAACGGCCCTAATTGATACTTTATTTCATTAGTTAACCATGAGAGTTACATTAATAAATCCTCTAGGACTTGTGAGGGGGGGGGGGGGAGGGGGTTAAGTTATTTATTTTCAAATATGACTAGTATAAGGAGGAATATCATATTGAGAGTCCCAATGTAAAGCTCTCAAGCAAAGCGAAGAAACTGTTTTTGAATGCAATCTACTCTACCAGAGAGAAGCTTAATAGGACTAACAACTGAAATCTAAAGCTATTGCACTTCTTGAGATGTCATAAAACCTTTCCATTTAATCATCCTTTTGAAGATATTATATAGTGGGCGGTAGATACTTTACGCATAGTTTGCTTAATTTGAAATTGAAAGGACTCAAGCTTTTGGGTTTCGTCTGCTGACATGGCTAAGTGCTGTTCTTATCGCCATCGCACGCACCATGCATTCGGAGTTTGAATCTGAGAAAGTTAATTTGCCACTGCTTCTTTTGCCGCCTAAAGGCATATGGAGCCTTTCATGAAGCAACACCGCCCCAGCAGGAGGTTCTTGGACAATGGGTTATAATATTTAAATTAAATTTTAAAATACTTAATTTTAGGCTTCGGATGTCGAAGCAAATTTTGTAAAAGAAAAAAATGTTAATAAAGAGAAAAACAATTATTTTTTTCTCCAGAAGCCAATGAATTGAATTGCTTAATACCACGTTTATATGCAGAAGATATATTTAAATCTGTAGTATAGTTAGTTCCTGTATGTGATATAAAAACTTAAAAAGAGCCAGTGTTCAGAACAATGTAATATTTAAATTGGCCATAACGAGCTTTCTCCTTGTTTCAAATTGACCGTAAAAAGTTATGAAATGTTTTTACGCATCCAACACCTTTTGGAAAAAGGTTATATATATGTGTGTATAAATCGTAAAAAGTGCATTGTGCTGTAAAAAATATTCCTCAACAATTATTGTCTGTCGCGGCATAACAATTACGTTTTATGCCAACAATTAAATACAGCCAACGCTTTTTGTGCTACAACATGCGTTTTTGCGCACTTCATGTGAACACAGACACCCACACACATCCCTTTAAAAATATATGGCATACTTGTATGCACATATATTACATACACGTATGATTGCGCGCACTTAATCCGCTTAATGACAGTTGACAATTTTACAAATACTGCCGCTTGCATTTATTTATTTATGCCAATATTTTTGTTCGCTCCATTGCGGGTGGTGGAGGAGGGCAAACAGTTTTTCTTACTTACATGACAGTTGCATAAATATTTTATTTAAATAAATATGAGTTAAATGTAAACATATATCTTTGGTTAGCGGCATAGCTTATATATAGATATATATGTGATATATTTTTTGTACATATATTTATTTGCGGCCATATATAAAATATTTAGAGCGCTTCTCATATTTCATTTGTTTCTTCATATATATATAACAGTACTTTCTGCCTGTGCTACTTTTATATATGCATTATTTATTTTTTCACAATTTCATTGTTTTTTCAGGGGCTTTCCGGTTATACGATGTCGACAATGATGGTTACATAACACGTGAGGAAATGTACAATATTGTGGATGCCATATACCAGATGGTGGTAAGTAAGGGTGGACGTCAGCGGAATGTTTTTTCGCTATAAATAAGCTTATTAATAATTAAAAAATGGAAAGTTGAACGGCATGTATACATATTTATGTTTGTCTTAATTTATAATTTTATATAATACCAAAAGCCAATAAATATCAAGTTTTTTAATTTGTTGATATACGTATTAAGTAAACTACGAGGTCTGGTTGTTTGTATGAATTGAATATTTCTTATATACAAAGCCTGGATCTGGCACCAAGTAATTACCATCTTTTCGTGTCCATGGCGAACCTGCTTAATGGTGAGAAGTTGGTCTCAAGAGAGGCCTGTGAAAATTGGTTCTCCGAGTTTTTTGCTAATAGGGACACAGCCTTCTACGGGAGGGGTATAATGAAGTTGGCAGCTTGTTGGCAATAAGTTTACGAACAAAAATGGCGCATGCTTGACTTGAATCGGAAAAATCTACAGAAAGTGGTCGTATTTTGAAAAATTAATAAAAAAAAAACCAAACGAATCTTTTACTTTACCAATATATTATCTGCTCCGTTTATATTCGAAATATTGGATGAGTGCATAAGTTCGTGCCCGATTCCGCTGGATGCCGTTCGAATCGCTTGAAAGTGGCGCTCGTGAAAGAAATATATACATATTATATATCGTTGGAAAGGTGACAGTCCGAACTGTAAATCAAGCATAAAATAACTTCATTTTGATTTGAGTTGCTTAGTGAAAAGACGCATGGAAGATGGACAACGAAAAAGATCATATGCGTCATATTATGTTATACGAATTCCGCAAAGGAAAAACAGTAGGCGCTGCAACTAAAGATATTCGCGAAGTTTATTTGGACCGTGCTCCAGCACTCCGCACAGTAAAGAAATGGTTCGCGAAATTTCGTTCTGGAGATTTTAACCTCGAAGATCAACCTCGCAGTGGACGGCCTTCTGAGCTTGATGACGATGTTCTAAGGACTTTAGTTGCGAATAACTCACGTATTTCGACGGAAGAGGTTGCCAGTGAATTGAACGTCAACAAATCAACTGCGTTTCGTCGTTTAAAAAAGGTTGGGTACACTTTGAAGCTCGATACATGGGTGCCACATCAGTTGAGTGAAAAAAACAAAGTGGACCGTATGTCAACAGCAATTTCTTTGCTTCGACGGATCAAAAACGAACCTTTTTTGGATCGGCTCGTGACTGGTGATGAAAAATGGATCCTGTACAACAATGTTCAACGCAAAAGAACATGGAAACAGGCACACGAAGGGGCGGAACCGATGTCGAAAGGTGGATTGCATCCGATGAAGGTACTGCTGTGCATTTGGTGGGATATCCGAGGCGTGATCTATTTTGAGCTCTTGCCAGCTGGAGAAACGATCACTGCCAACAAGTATTGTCAGCAATTGGTCGAATTGAAGAAAGCAATTGATGAAAAACGTCCGATTTTGGCCAATCGCAATGGAGTTCTTTTCCATCATGACAACGCCAGGCCACATGTTGCAAAACCGACCCTGGCCAAACTGAAGGAGATGAGTTGGGAAATCATGCCGCATCCTCCATACTGCACCTTCTGATTATCATTTGTTTCGATAGCTGCTACTCTACAATATACTTTTTAAAACTAAGATATTTATGTTTCTAGATTTATTTTTCTTAATTTCGTTAACTAATTTAAATAGTTGAATCATTCAATGCTGTAGTTAATTTTTATTTTTTACCGATAGGCTCTGTTGCTAGTTGCCTTAGTCGTGTAATGCAATTGTTTATGATTTTATTTTAAACATATAAAAAAAAATATAAATAAATTTTACTTTATATTAAGGCTCTTTAAGACAGAAAGCTATATTAATGTAAAAATTAATAATAAATTTATTTAATCTTTCTCTTCTCTCCCCTCCATTTGCAACCACTCAGGGCCAACAACCGCAATCGGAGGATGAGAATACGCCGCAGAAACGTGTCGATAAAATCTTCGATCAAATGGATAAAAATCATGATGGTAAATTGACATTAGAAGAATTTCGTGAGGGTAGTAAAGCTGATCCACGTATAGTTCAGGCGTTAAGTTTAGGTGGTGGTTAAGACAGTTGAAAAATGAGAGGAAACGGACGACTTCATACATACATACACAAAAACACCCAAAACACGGACAGTACATTTAAGCAAATAATATTCATTTGTAAAACAAAAGAAATGTGGCGTAAATTTTTATGGCAGCGCAGCCAGCTGAGGGAGGTTTATAAAGTAAAATGAAAATAAAATAGAAATAGAAAATTTTTCATAATTGTCTAATTACAAATGTTTGCTAAACAATATACAGAAATAAGCAAGTGGGTTTTATAATACAATATTTAAAAATGAGGATAAAATGAAAAATAGCTACAAATTTTCAGTACATTATTTGTTTTTTAAACTATTTTTTCTACTAATAACAAAAAAAAAATACCGTTTTCATTTACTAAAAACTGTTTTTTATTTGCACATTTTTGCTAAAAGTTTACTCGAAAAAATTGATTAATTTCCTCAAAGTTAAATAATTAAAATTCAAAATGAAAATTATTCTTCTGAAGCAATTTTTATTAACAAAAAAATTTGAGATAATAATTTTTTGCAATTCAATTTTAAAATTAGCTAATAGTTGAAAAACAATATATTACAATAAAAGGCAAAAAAGAAAAAACAAAAGCAAAAACAAAAAAAAATTAAAAATGCGTTCATTAGTATACATAACTTATACACAGCAAATTGGCAGCGAAATAAGAGTAAAAATTCAATTAGCAATACAAAGCGAATACACCAATTATTAAGTAATTAGAAACGGGGGGAAAATATAAAAAAATAAATTTATTAAAAAAAAACCGTTGTTTATATGAAAACGAAAGTGTTTAGTGAGCAAGTCATAAAACAAGCCTTCATTATATTTGAAAATAAAAACATAAATAAGTTAATTGAAAACAAACATTAAAAATAAATTAAGTAAACAATTATAAAATTAAACAAAAGTTTTAAGAAGTTAGCAATTAGCCTTAATGCATAAAAGCATAGCCTTTGCTGGCTTGGATGCAGATCAAGTTAATTATAATAATAACGAAAACATTAGCATACATATAGGCGTTAGGACAATTAGTAGCATAAAGCAAGTATGTGCAATATTAATTTTTATGTAAGCAATAACCAGCAACAACCATTTTTTTAAGAAAAAATTCCGTTGGTAACATAAAAAGTATTATTTCCCCTGAAAATTAGAGTGTGTTAAGTATCTATAATATACTTTTTGGTGCTAGATATTCACATTTCTTTGCTGCCCGTTAAAAAATCAGCAGTTTTTGCGATAATACTTTCTAACTGAACTTTAATTAAAGAAAGCTCACAAAGCTCTTTTAGATACTTTTGCGCTTTTCTTGACCTTTACACACAGACGTTGCACACTCTGACACTTTCCATCACACTAAGATAATTTCTATTCTATGTGCGGTTCAGCTTTATTATTATTTAACTAAATAAAAGAAAAGAAGCTTATAACTAAAGGTGAAAACAAAAATTACTAGGCAAGATCCTGCTCGCCAAAGAAAATAATTAAAATGAGTAAAATTTAAAAATGTACCGTAAAAATCAAATAACATAAAATATGCAATATGTATTCTATATCCAACCAGTATATATACATAAGCACACGCTTTTTGAAAAACTGCTAATTGCTATGATCATGAAATATTTATAATTGAATATGAAAACCTCACTGAAATTCTTCAAACCAATACTTAACCCACTGTAAAGATACTGTTTAATAATGTGTAATATACATATAATATATATATATATATATATACATAGCCACTTATTTTAGTAAATTTATAAAAACCTTTATTGAATGCTGTTGAAAACAGTTGAATTTGAAAATTTGTATAGGAAAGACAGATCAATTAATGTAAATTCAAATAAAAAGAAAAAAAAAAACGGCAACACTCAAGTAATTAACAGAAGTTTTTTCCGGTTAAAGGAAGTATGTAAATATACCAAAGGAATCCAAATAATAAATACCACCACTGTACTTCATGCACATGAACTACATATTTATAAATACTTAGTAATATTTTTAAAGTGAAATACAATATTTAAATATAACTACAGCAATTTGGTGTGAACAAAGCAAGCAATTAAATAAAACGGAATCAAAAGAATCATGGAAATGCACAAATTTACTCATTCACCATAGTAAAATAAGAATTTACATTTTTTTTCTAATTTAAAATTTTAAAATAAAAATTCACAGTATTTAAAAAAATCGAATATTTGTTATAATTCACAAAATTTTTGATCTAAAATTTTTAAAAATTTTTGTAAAAGTTTTTTAGATAATTTCAACAATTCGATCTATTTTTTACCGCACATTTTTGGAAATTCTCCAGCTTAAAAATTAAAAATTACTCCCACTGCACATAAATAAAATTTTCCTTTTCGTATTAAAATAATTATAAAAATTATTTTCTTACTGAAGGAATAAACTTTGCAGTTAAATAGTGAATACACCACAATATTTAATCAGTTTTAGTTTTTTTGATGTTAACACTGATTCCCGATTTGAGGTATTGAAAAACTTGGAAGAAAACTAAAAAAATTCGTTTAAAATTTTCGAAATTTTTTTTTTTTTTTCAAAATGTTGTTTAGTTTTATTGTAAAAAAATGTTTTTTTTTTTTTTTTTTTTTTTTGCAAATATGATGAATATCAAGGCCTCTACAAATATATTTCGATTTTCCTACCGATACCATCGATTTTCTATTTCTTTCTCATATTCGGACAATATATCTCACAAAAAATGTACTTATTTTTTTAGAAAAAAAAATTTGTAGAAAGTTTTTGAAATCGTCAATAGTATTATAGATAAAAGATTTAAGATGATATTAGAAAAAAAAATTAATTACTTTTTCTGAAAAAGCTCATAAAGTAATAATCATTTTGGACTACAAATTTAAAAAGCTAAAAGTCACTTGAGCGTACCATAGAAGGTGTTAAATGAAGGGTTACACTGGTCAGCTTCCTTTGAAAAATTATGTTATAGTAATATTTGGCCGATTTTTAGAAATATTAACTTTAAGATATTAACTTTTGTCAACATGTGCTGCAGCCGAAAGGAGGTTTGCAAATTGAAAATAAAGTCGACGCTTTACTAGCTCTAATGAGGGGTTTCAGGACCCGGGCAGTTGTGCATACTGCAGATGATAGAACGAGAGATAGCATGTTCGGCACTTAAAGTATTCGATGTAGTAGCCGCCGATGGAAGACCTCCATCTGCTGCGTTGGAAAAACCAAGTGGAGAAGGTTTCACTTGGTATTTCCAATCGGCGCCTAACAGCCAAACGAAGAAATCACTAGGTCATTAATGTTGAACCAGTCATAGTGGTGTTAGCCGTGTCTATGCCAATGAAGGTGTGTAAAAAAATCGTTTGGACGCTAACATGCTATGCTCTTTAATAAACCTTTCATTTTCGATGGGGCATACTTAATAGGTTTCTTGTCATATGTTTTGTGCGATTCTTCTACCCTCGCTCGTTGTTTCCAAATTTTAGTAAGCCCTATGAAACGCGTTCGTCTCTTGTATGTGCTACATGAGACTGTTAAGTCTAAAGCTACGTCGTATTCTAACAGCATATACATATTCTGACAGTTACTAGGCTCTTTCATATGCTTTTACACTCAGTAAAAGAGAAGCTTTCTCTTCTCAATCAGTCTTTCGATGACCTTCTTCGTGCTTTTTAAGAGGAAAAATGATCCAGGAGAAGATACATATTAAAAAAAAAACATTTTTTGCAGACCAGTGTTGTTATTTCTTAAGCTATGAAAAAAATATAGAAAAGAAAAACGTTTTTAGTGTGCATTTAAAACTTTATATTAAAAATTTTACGTCCATATTTTAAGGCTTAAATTCGTTTTAAATAATTTGGTACCGCAATTAGTTTCTATCCCAAAAATTTACGAAATTGATTCACTCAGTCTGTTATATAGAAACTGGACTCTAAAGAACTTCTAAGCTCCTATGGACTGTAAATCCTTGCATGTTATGAATCATTACAGAGAGTGTGACTTTTATTTTACGTGTTTAATTGCTATTCGTTTATTTAAACCATGCTGTATGCAAATGGAAAATAAAACTTATTAACAATTTTCAAAAATAATCCTAAGAACTAAGAGCAATTTAAAGTCTAATTATAAAACTCATAAAGAGCTAAGAACTCAACAAGTCAATGAAACCAAATTTAGTACTCAAAAAGCTGCACTTAAACATATTTAAGTACTAATAAATTTTCTATGGAAAAGCTGAAGTCAATTCCAACTACTTATTAAAATGCTAAATAAAACTAAAAAAAACACCAAAACATACTAAAGATTTATTAAACACGCTATTATATTTATATAAACACAAAGTACTTAAATCTCATTATTAGAAAAATATGTTATGTAAATTACCACATACTATACATAAATATATAAGTGCATAGTCTAATGGATTTAGTGATGAGCTAAATGAAAAAAAATTAAAGATATCTTTAAAAGCAATATTTTCAATTCAAGTATTGTATACAGAAAAATAGTAATTCAAATAGTTATGTATATAATAAAAAAATATAAAATAAATTATAAAAAAAGAATAGCAATTTAAGTTGAAACGATAAACCTTCTGATATATTACATAAAAAATTGCATTCACCAAAAGAAAAATAGGAAATCATTTCAATGCCACGTTGTATGTAAATGCAGCAGTTTATGCAACCAAAAACAACATTGCAATTTTTTTGATCAATTAAAAGTCATTAAAAAGTGATGATTAATAAGTCAATAACATTTTTGAATGCAATAAAATTTTTAGGTATATTGACCGTAAAAAATATATGTATTAATGCAAAAGAGTCACAAAAATTTCAACGCGTTGAAATGCCATAAAATCTATTTTGCAAACAAAAAAATAGACGAAAGTTTGAGCAGCATGCATGCGGCGCTTGGAAAAAGCACAAACTATAAAATAATATAAAAAAAATAAAAATATATAAATATTACAAAAACACAATCGACGGCAGCATAAAAAACAGATACCAACAAGCAAAATTACAAATATATATGTGCATGAGTAAAAAAAAAAATTAATAGATATTATGCAAAATAATAAAATTAAATTAAACATAAATACTTGAAAATGCAACATTTAATACAAAATCAATAAAAAAAACAATATAAAAATATTTATTACATATATTAATACTTACAAATACAAAAATTTTAAGATAATTGATGAAAAATGTGAATATTATATAAATACATTTAAAAATAATATTTTACTTAATTTTTATTCATTTTTTATAATTGTTTTATTTTCTAATAATTTATTTTA